CGGTCACGGTCACGGTCACGGTCACGGTCACGGTCACGGTCACGGTCACGGTCACGGTCACGGTACGGTATGTCAGTACTGTTTTTAATGATCATACGAAATGTGTTCTATATATGTCTTACCGGCAGCAATACTTTTCACGAGTTCGTTCATTACTCGTGCCTTCTGTGGTTGCTGATGGATATCTTTGGTTAATTGTTGAAGCATCTTGCGCTTGTCCGAGTGTACGCAGAACTGGCATCAAAAATATCAAAATCTTTAAAATCACGCCTCATTCACTAGTACGAGAGAATAGGAGTTAAAACCGACGTACCTTCCATCGTGAGAGCGATGAATTGACGCCTAAGAGAAAATAAGTTATTAGAAATGTTTTCCATTTGGGGTCGCTGTGGGAAATAACTTAGCATTTGGGGTTCCTGCGTTCCTGAGGACGGTACTATACGATCTAATTTGCGTACCGGAAACATTATCATACCTTCAGTAGTTCCTTCGATTTTTCGTAGATAGTGAGATTTTCGTATTAACCATCTTTCGATTTGATCGCAGCTTGCTACCTCCAGTACAAGTTCATCTAGTACGTTAGGGTTGGCTAAAAGGTAGTCTTTGACTTGCTGTTCTGTTAGTCCTAGCAGTAACCAAGGTAACCAGTACATTAATCACAAGATAGGTAAATATGAGATGGGGGCAAAATTTGCAACTTAGGAAGAACTAATCGTCGGTGTGATTATTGTTTGAGACATCAAAATGGCTACTACCGCAAACTACCTGCCATGACATTTAAATGGCTTCCTTGCTATGACATTGAAATGCCTTCCCCTTCTGAACCAATCCAAGGCGCACGATTGCCATTTAATCAGTGCCTAATAAAATCTCTTGACCCCGAAAGCCCATTGAAGACCTGCCATGACGTTTAAATGACTTTCATGCCGTGACATTGAAATGGTTTCCTCTATGAACCCATCGAAAACGCAAGACGACATCCGAATCAGTGATTAATAAAATTTCTTGAACCCGAAAGCCCCTTGCGGATCTACTGTTATGAGAGAGAAAATGAATGTTTTTACAGACTAAGCTAGACATCAGTTTTCTAATTACTATTTCTTATCGTATGAAAACAAGATAAAGAACGATCAATTAGCTATATAAAAATATCGATATAAGATTTCAGCAAGGCTGCCATCACGCACAAGTTTAGATAATGGTATCCATTGAATTCACAAGTAAACCTCTTAGCTCCTCCCATTGCCATTTGTACCTCTGGTTACGCCCTTCGCACTTTTTATCCCTTTGCTCACTTATTTTGACACTATTCTTTTAAATCTTATGATAGAAATATTCCTCGTAGCCTTTTCTATACATTTACAATATGTAAAAACGCAAAACGAAATCCGAATCAGTAGTCAATAAAATTCTTTGACATGAAAACCAATTACAGAACTGCCATGACCTTTAAATGCCTTCCATGCCATGACCTTTAAATGGCTTCCATGCCGTCGACATTTAAATGGCCTCCTCTCTAAACCAATCTAAAACACAAGAAAGACACCCGACAGTTTACCCAACTATAAAACTCTTGAACCTGAAAACCAATTGCAGATTCTATACTGCAAGCTACCTGCTATGCATTTGAAATTACTTTCTTGCCGTGAAATTCAAATGGCTTCCTCTTCCTCAATCGAAGAGTGCAGATTRGTAAACCAGGAAATTTCATAGTTCCCTACCGCGAAATGTTGAGTTGACGTAGTACCATTAAATTACTGTAACACAAGTCAAAAATCAAAAATTAAACCATACCATTTTCAAGGAAATTCTTGTCTTTTTTATGACACTAGACAAAAACAATCTTTTTCTTATCCTATTTCTATTTTATGTCAAATGAGAGAAGTCTGCGTATTTTGCCGCTTTGCTGTCTCCGCCGTTTCCTCGGCTCGTCTCTTGCCATTAAATTCCACTTACATCGGACCGAAGAATTGCAAAAAACACTTAACATTTCGTCACAATTTAATAAAAACGACAAACAGCATCTTAATATTTTAATAACTTTGTGGAAAGTTTAATGAAGGAGTTAAAAGCTTTGTTACGGGTTCATAGTGCCGATCGTCTTTTTTTTTTTTCTTTTTTCTTTTTCCAACCTGTCTTTCACTCTCTTTTCTCACTTTTACATTTTGAGACATGTTTTCACTTTAGCATTTTTTAAAGGACCTGTCTGAGAAGGAAAACCATCTTTCTTTGACTTTTTCTAGAATCTCAATTCTAGATCAATATCGCTAAATACATGTCAAAAACACAGTATGAAAAATACGCGAGATGTTATAATTAATAGTTGTTCTCCTTCATGAAAACTGGAAAGATACAACCCCTCGAAGCGAAAAACAACACATACATTCATAAAAATTCTTTTGTTTATCAAAAGTATCATAAAAATCTTGGCTTAATTTTCCGTTCCATTTGCTATACCGCGGTTATGAAATACTAATTTTAAAAGTAATGGATCTCCGTGAGAACTATAGAGGCTTAAAAACAATGCGAGAAGGATAACCAAACAATGAAAAACAGTAAGGATTTTAAAAAGTCTTTTAATTAAAAATCGTTGTCTAGCTTGATGGGAAATCCATGGGACTTCTAAGTCATTTAGTGTCAAGGAAAGCTAAGGGAATGCCTTTTTCTTTTATTTAGCGGGCCGATATTAAGATTTCAATATGCTTTTTTCATTGCTTGGCTTGCGTATTTAGGATCCAGTCATCAAGTATATTGAAATGACGTAAAAGAAATGTCTATAGCCTGCCTTTATTAAAAAATTAAAAAAAACTAATAAAAAACCCGGAGTTCTTCAAAACCTTAGATAACAAATGCTTGATTTAACAATTGAGTCAAAAATCAAAGGGGAAAAGTATAAATATCTTAAAGAGATAACGATATACCGACTTTTTTTTAATTTTAGAAAGTGTTGTATATTTTTCCTTTTTTGAACGATAAAAACAAATATGCGAAAAAATTGAAAGCGTACGATAATTAACGGTAGGTTTAATATTCTGTGTGATCTAAAATTATTTGCTCTTATAAATTAACCGGCTTTCTTGAAATAAGAACGAGGGAAAAAGAGCTCAATTAGAAAAGAAAATAAATTGAGATAGAAAATTTGTTATTAGTTTTGAAAAAGATAAATGGTCTCAAAGCAATAGAACTGATTTTCTTTCTTTCTTTCTTTTTTTTTCATGTCGTTTTTCGTCTTCAGATTCTAAGATTTGGATAACTTTAAAATCGGTTGAATATTTTTAGCTAGTAATTAAATTTTAACTCGCTATAGAACTAATCATTTCTTTCGATGCAGTCAACATCTAATAATAAAGCGTAACTTTTTTACATGGTTTAAAAACTGCAAGCTTAATTTAAATTTTGTGGAACAAAACATCGTGCTTTTCTTCCCAAAATTTCATTATTTTTAAATTCAACAAGTTTTAAGTATGCAATTTAGTGATGACAAAGAACAATACTACAAGACCTAATAGTAATGTTTCACACAATTATTTTAAAGCCCGATGAGAGTTAAATGAGAAAATATCAAGTTTCATCAACAAAGTGTGCATAAATTACGCCAAGTCAAATAATCCCGAAATTTGAAACCCTAGAACTCATAAACCCATCTACACGAACAAAATCTTGTAAAATACCTATTTTTCTGTCAGCAGTTGCCAAATTATTCTAATAATCAATAAGAGAGGTGTATTTATTTGTTTTGGAGAAGTAGCTATTTACACATTTACAAGGGTTTGGGAGAAAACTTTTAGACTCTACATTATTTTTCTATAACGTCGTACTTTGGCCTCCGTTAGAGTTTCGAATGGTGTTGAATATATTAAATAATGAAAGAGTTTGATCTAACTTTCAGCTGTTTAAAGCTTTTAAATTGAAGCTTCGGCAATTTTCTATTCGGGGATGTTTTAATATTTGTTTTGATATTTGCATAAAAATCGAAAACTTAGTCCCGCATTTTGAAGCAAATCTCCATTGAAGTCTTCATGTTTTCCCCCCAATAGTTTTTGCTCAATGAAAAGAAAGTGAAGCTTTATAGTTTTTCAAACGAAGAAGGAATAATAATTAAGACATTAGGGAATTACCTTGACAAGTTTTCTTAACTGAAAGTAGAAAATTTTTACATTAAAGTGAAGTAAACTTACCGCGCGAATGGCGAGTTTTCAAGAGTCCGTCTTCAAGATTTGCAGCGTTTTCTTTCAGAATTGGCCTTATCTGAACTTGGTTGGGTAAAGGTGGAAGCCTTCTGACGCTAACTTGTCGTGTTGGAGAAGACATTTTCATTTGTTTTTGGAGAACTTACAGAGAAAACTAAACATGAAGAAGATTCCAACAAACTCATTGCCATTGTTGTTACCTTGGAGCTTCTTCGTCAGATTTTATACCAACTTCGGAGCACGCGCAGATTCGTCGTCGGCTTGTTGTCAGCCAATCATATTTCAGAAATATTTCCCTAAACACTGTCGTTCAAACTTCGGTAAATTATCGGAAGAAGATTCTTCACTTGACTTCCGTTTCCGTTTCCGAAAATTTATTTGAAAAATTATATATTAACAAGAGACCTTCTCTTGATATTAAATATTAATAACATTAAATAATCATTTTAGTGAAATTGGAATTTAAAATTAAACTTTTAGGGAACATATCTCTGTTTTATTAAAATGTCAGCCTTTCTTTCATGAAGATCAAATTTAGCCGTTATAGAGAATACGACAGGACTAAAATATTTTATAATTTTTTTGTTTTTAAGTGTTTGATGGCATTGAAATCATGTCAGTAGATACTCAATGAAATAATAGTGCTAACGGATCCCAAGATATTAGTTTCCACATTTTTTTTAGACAAGCCAGCCGGATCAAAAAATATATATATTGTGCCGCGTCTCACCCCACTCTCCATAGTAAGTTTGCACTAAATCTGCTAAATGCATGAAATCAGGATTTTATTTCGCGTCCCCTTTATACATACACAGACGCCATCTGAATTTGTTTCATTAATTTATGAAAGTCGTTCAACCCACATTTTTTAGTCGAATAAGAATGATAAAAAGTTGACTTTAATTCCTGTTTTAACCTGAAGGCTGCGATCATATATATTGACTTTTATGGCCATTAAATTGGTATAAAGGAACATTTATAGACTAAATCAGTCCATTACAACCATAGGGCATTGGGATTTAAGTACTAAAGCCGGTCTTTCATGAGGTCAAGTCGATGAAAATGAGGAATTTCGACGCTATATAAGACATCAAATTTCCAAACTTTGCAACGCGGGTTGAAAAATAGATAGATTAAGAAACCGACACAAACGGCAGATACTAAGTGATGCAAATGGCTGCGCACTTTTTCCGCCAATAAACTCAGAATTGCTAATGTAATAGACAACTGAATAAGTAACGCATCCCCCAAGATCACCTCAATGTTTACGACAGTTATACGCATACCGATTGAATTACGTCTACCAGCTTATATATTCGATCTAGGGTTTGGCTAGATGACAACTAGAATCCAAAAAGGCTTGAGTTTCGGCACGTATACGTACCCCTTCGGTCATATATCATAACCACTGAGCGGCTAAGCCGATCTTATATATCTTGATAAATAAATTTAAGGGCATCATTTTTTTGATTATTGTAACATTATAAAACGCATTTTCCCTCGTGAAATAAAGTTGATTTTATTTTACTTGAAAAATATAAATTTGAGGAGATTTTTTCTAAGTTGCGTTGGGTGGTTTGGAAAAAATAGTATTAAAGCTTGACATTGCACATAATTCTCGAGAGAATGTGGGAAAATAAGATATCTTAGAGCCTGTTTATTTCGCGCTGTCTTTTGGCCTTTCCACCAGGACAAAGTCAGAAAAGCTTGTGTCCGCTCAACCATTTCAAATCAGTCTCAGCTTTCCAGAGACGATGACAGAGACGATTTCCTTTATCTTTGAAAGAATTTGTCCCTCATTTTCATCATGTTTCCATGGCAACCCTTGGTTCGTTTCAACTGTTGCTTAGCAGCAGGATCGATCACGTGTTAACAATGCCAGCCTTGATATGAGTCAGTGAATGCCATTATTTAATCCACTTGAAGGCCAGCCAGATAATCTTCATTGAAGAACTTGTCGCGTAACAAGATTGATCATTGTTACTATGGCAACAAATCCTTAGCTTTGTCTTTTAGAAGGGATTCACCCATAGAGTGCTAAGCCCTTTCGCTTCCTACAAAGATTCAAAGTGAATTAGAACACAAACCGAAAAAGACAACTTATCTTCAACCCAACAGTATATTCTGATAATCCTGAATGGGTTCCCTGTGGATTTTAACCTCTTCTCCCACCCCCTTAAAACCACACCCTTTTAGGCATTTTCTCAAGCCTCTCGTTTCTTTTTGCTGACCAAGACGAGATACATTCCCTTGTTAAAGGTGACACTTGAATAACATTCTGCTAGTCAAATCAATGCTGGAAGTGAAAAATGATACCGGTGGGTACCCTGTGGATACTATCTACCTCCCACTGTAAAATCTAGATTGCTTGTGTTTTAGTGTAATTTCATCAAAAAAGAAGCCGATAATTTGATAATAAATCGTTAATGGCACAAGGAAAGAAGAGGAAGTCTCCTCGTGTGTTATGATACCTTAACTTGATTGGTTTGTTCCAGAACGTGCAGAGACAAAGGTGCCGCAATCGGTGGAAGTCTGGCAAAGAAACCACAACAGGAAACCAAAATGTCAATATGAAGCAGCGATGRAAAAAAGTGATAAATAAAGTAATTAAAATTTCAATGCGCAGAATTCATTAATTTGCTTTTTTTGGCTCACTTGAGAATGGAAAAATTACGACATAATAGACGCCATCTTGGTTTAATTTAGATATTATTAAACTAATAATTGATGTCAGCTGCTCGAAAAGCAGGTGCTTTTCTGAGTTCCACACAAACAGGGTGCTTTAAGGCCGGTTTAGACGGTACGATTTTCGCCCGGGGGAGGGGGGGGGGGGAATCTCTTGAAAAGTGGGTAGGGGGGCTCGACGGACGGTTTTGAAAATGACCCTAAAAGGTATGCATAAATTAACTGAGATGC